TTTGCGAGCGTCTCTAATATCTTCCAGCTGTGAGTCCTCAAAGTCTGACTCAGCTTCCCTGCACAGCTGAATCTCAGCCTGAGCATGATTGGAAGGGCCAGGCTCTTCATCAGATTGTAAGTCCTGGGCTCATAAGAGCCTTCTTCCGACTCTGATGGCTCTCCAGGCCTTCCCCCCTCCTCTGATTCCCTGGACTCAGCTGCCAGGTCCAGTGGCTGGCACAGACTCACAACACTAGCAAGTCAGAGAGCTTTTAATCCTCATGGTTTTGTTGAGTCTGGCATCTAGCTTCTAGTATAACAGCTATTAAGCTATACAAAAGAACCGTATTCTGCTGTGGAATAGACCATCCCTACGGCTGATGACTTGAGGATGGCAGCTGAAGCTCCCCGTTTAATTCCATATATTGTCTGGAGTATGTTGTTTCTAGAATTGATTTTAGCTGCTATATTCTATAGATGTATCTTATAGGAGAAACTCTGGTACAGTGTTGTTGCAAGGTACTTTGGATGAGGAGTAAACTTTTTTTAAGTAGATCTATGGGATTTCATATGCTAGTTTGTTAAGATAGAAACACTGTTTTGCTAAGAGTAAACCTCCAGTCAATGAAGAATTTTCCCAAGATCTTAAGATCTTTGGACAAGAGGCTTTGTGTTTTTCTTGTATTTCTATGGCCAAATCATCATCATATCCAAATTTGTATCTCCTTGTTGCTGACATATCTGATAAGTTGAATAGTAGGTGCCTTTCCAGAGCTTTGTGGGAGGCCATTATTCTTTTTACCTTATTTATGTTTTTGCCCATTATTAACTGGAAGGATCTATCATTCAGCATGTTATTAATTATTTGACAAAGATTTTTGAAGGGGATAATATGGCACAGTCTAAAATGTGTTGTATGCCGAAGTTAGATCTACGAACATGGGCATGGTTTTAGGTCTTGATGGCTTCAATATAGCCTATTGGGCTTAATACCTGATCTATAGAGCTCTGGTTTTGTCAGAAGCCGCTTGTTCCATGAACAAATTTTCATTTATGGGATCAATCCTGTTTATAATTAAACTTTCCAGGAATTTGTAGCAGGAGCTCAAAAGGGATGGTAGCTTTCAACTTTCTCTTGTGGTTTACCAGGTTTTAAAAGTCATTTTATTTTAGCTTTTTTTGAACTCTGGTGGGAGGCAGAAACTACTTAATGAAGAATGTCACATAGAAATCTTAAACTTTATTAGCTCACAAGATAAAGAATTTGCAAAAGTTCTTTTCATTTTGTAGAACAGAAATTATTTGTTGATTCTCTTTTCTCAGTTTTCTGAATAATGTCATTCAGTCATGTGCACTTTAAGACTGTACTTCTTCAAGTATGTATGAATAAAAAGATCCAAAATGTATGTTTTCAGAAGGATCAGGCAAGACAAGATTTATTTTAACGCTAAATATGTAGAGTCAATTTAAATCTACATATTTAATTAATTTAGTTTTTGAAATGCTTTTGGCCATTAATCAAGTATGTGGCTAGTTGTTCTACAATGTTGATTGAATATTGTCCACTAATAAATATGATCTGGTTGATTTCAATTTGATTTATTCTAATTTCTCTTTTTAATTAGAGAATGTAAACACTAATAGGAGCTCTGGTGGTGCAGTGATTAGAATGCAGTATTGCAGGCTATTTCTCCCCACAGCCTGGAGTTTGATCCTGATGGGCTCAAAATGGATTCAGCTTTCCATCTTTCTGAGGTTGATAAAATGAGGCTCCAGACTGTTGAAGCCAATGCTGTCATTGTAAACTACCCAGAAAGTGCTATAAAGCACTATGAAACGGTATATAAGTCTAAGTGATACTGCTATTGCTAATACATTGCAGAGCATAGATAAACATCTCACCCAAGAGTATAGCTAGCAATAAGGCATAAAATGCATGAGAAAGAACTATTTTGTTTATTGTTTTCTGTATTGTATTCTGCAATATAAGATGATGTAAACCAGACATGTCAAACTCGCGATGTCACATGATGTCACACAATGTATTGGGACAGTTTTGCCATTGCCGGCAATGGGGTGGGCGTGGCTTCCAGATGACACATCTGGCCTGTGGGCCGGCAGTTTGATACCCCTGATGTAAACAGTTACTTTTGTATTTTTGGTATTCCGTGGTCCTTTTAACAGGCTTTTGTTCTAACTACTGAAACACGCATATTGACAAACTTCATTCAAGACATAAATAGCTATCACACCCTTTTTTCTGAGCACTGTCCATTTCTGGTGTACTATCTTTAAGCATATACAGTATATTGTACTAAGCAGTGTGGTGCCTTATGCTATTGTTAAATATAAATTTCTGTTTTCTTATAAAGGTTTGGAAATATTATTTGAAAATAACATCATATTTTCTTTCAGGTGATGCTAGGAAACTACTATACTGACTTTATGTTCCACAGAGTTCTATTTTATCTCCTATATGTAGTTTGACATTGATGTGAAATTACTAGGGAAAGTCATTCAGGCCTTTGGAATAGAAATCTATCAGTATACAGATTACATCCGGCTCTACTGATTTCTATCTTCTATCTCTAAGAAAGCAATCAATACATTTGAATATTCCCCAATTTCACTGTTGATGTTCAGGAAACTAGTTAAGCGCTAGGTTTTTCAAGGAACATTTAGGAACTGAGAAATTAAAAGAATAAATATACTTGGGAGAATTACATACAATGTACATATCATTTTATATTGCATTAGATTTTGATTATATATATAATTTTATTTTAATATGTATTTTATTAAAATTTGTATTAAGAATATTTTTATGTTGATGGTCCAGTAAGCCCCTAAGATTAAACTGAATGAAGTGGCATAAAAATATCTGTAATAAATCAAGAACAAATTAATCTGGTTATTGTTTTTTCTGTGAGCAACTAACACTGTAAGTAAGTTTCCCTTTTCAATTACTATCTTTTTTATGTCTGGTATGTACCAATCCTTAATATTCAGGAAATCTGATGTAAAATGGATAAATTTTTAATATTTTTAAAACAGGCTTTACTGAACTAAAATATATCAAAAATCATTTTTAAATACATAGATGAAACATTTATAAGTAACTAAGCAGAATTAACTGTTTGAAAAGAAAAGAAATTAAAAGACTGAATTTGTCTTCGAGAAGCATTCCAAAGCCATGGAATTACATAAAGACTTTCTAAATTTTCATTGACTGAAAGCCAGTGGGAGAAAACACTGGTTGCCACTGTTTTAGTCCAGTCTTAGGGCTTTGGGATGGAAGTAGAGATGGAAATAATTATTCAATCTCTACTGCTTGACTTTCTAAAGTTGATGTCAGCTTTAATTTGGAATCATTTACTGGATATATACTTGTTCTCCCCAACCTTGAGGAAATATCATGCTGCTTAATAAATTAAGACTACAAGTAGCTTTCTTTCTCAATAAGAAAAAGATTGTCTTTTCTGTTATCTTTCTCAATACCCAAAGTTCTAATCTGTAAGAATTGAAGGCATTTATTATTTCCTATATACCATACTAATTTTTTTGTTTGTTTGTTTACTGCCACTAGTGGTAGCACTTTTCTCACCCTTTGCTATCTTCTTGAGTTTCTTGACATTCTACCAGCCCAAGTAGACTAGACATGAGTTAGCAATGAGGATCCTGCTGGTGAAGATATTTTAGTAGATAGTTCATCAATTCATCTGAACGCAAGTATGTAGTGGAATAACCTGGAGGAACACGATGCAAAAGGAATAACCTTGAGTAACAGGAGGAAGAGCTGCAACCGACAACAGTCAGATTAAAAAACAAATCTGACTCTGGGGCAGATCTGTATATGAATCTCAAATAAGACCCTCCCTAATTCTCATGAAAATAATGGGAGGGAGGAAATGCATTAAGATTTCTTGTGAGACCTCCAAAATAGACCAGACTAGGAAACAAAAAGTTATACATGCTAATCCTATCTGTATTATAAGGTTATAGTAACACAGGGTATGACTAGTTTCATCTTTATTGAGACTCAACAGGTACATAACAGTTATTATAATTAGTATCAGGTTTATGATGTGGGATAACTTCTATTTTCATAAGACGCAGGGTCAAGGCTGCTTAGATTATCTTCTCAATTTAGGACAATAACCCAACAATTTATTTCTTCTTGTTCCAGTGTTAATCCTACAGGTGTTTTATATAACTGCTAGGAAAATAAGGACTAGCTTTTGTAACTAGATTTTATTACTGTAGACCAGGCCAAATTACATCTCTCACACAGACAGTTTGGGCAAAAAGAGTTTCTTTTCAATGGAACAGAATGCAAAACATCAAATGAAATATGAGACATCAATGTATGGAGGAAATTAGTTCTTACCTTGTTTTTGACTATGGTTTGGGGGAGCCCTGACTTACACTTAAGAAATCATATTTTATGAATATTGATGCAATATTTTCCCCTAAATGTGTTCTGTACAAAAGGCTTAATTTGGAATGAGTCCATGAATGGTTAAAATAATCCTTCCTCAATCTTTATGGGCTTTTATTCTGAATATGTTTTCTCTTCTTCGACATCCCCAGTGTAAAATCTACATATTCTTTATTTCTAGTTGGGGAATTTTTTACCCATTTATGTTCTCTTTCTATATCATTTACCTTAATTATTAAGTCTGTTAAATAATGGTGAGGATCCAAAGAAATGCATAATTAATTTCTTTGAACGAAGGAACCTTTGGTTTTCTTGGGCAGTACCTCTCCATACCATGCCACTTCTGAACTGCAGAGGCTTTCAAAAAATTAGTTTATAATATAGCATAAAGAATTCTTGTTAAAATAATACAAAAGTAGAAACTCTTGAGCTTTTCAGCATGCTGAAAGTATTTCTTTGAATTCCAGTCAACAATCTATTACAAATTATATGAACTTTTCAATGGAGAAATGAAGTAATGATAATACTTGTAAGTTTATTATAGCCCAAACTAAACAGATCTTATTTTTTTAAAAAAACAGAATGAGAAATCTCCAGGGCGCTCAACGAGTCGATCAAGTAACATTTCAAAGGTAAGTTGTAAGTCATTCTCAGGGAGTTTTGTTGCAACATGTGTATTATTTTGGTAGAATTGTAGGTACAAATTAATTCTGTTGGATATAAATGGGGTGTGGTTCTGACTAAGGATGCATGTCTACATGTTTATAAGGCACTTTGATTCTACAAGAATAACAGCAACACTTTGAAATGGTTGAAATAGCTTTGAAATTGAGCACTATACTTTCATGTTAGACTCCATGTTAGACTGGTGTTATTCTTTTATTAGTAGAAAGGAGACAGCATTTCCTTCTTTTAGCCTTAATCTGTTTCCTTCCCTCAGTTGTGGATATCAGATCAAGCTAAAATAAGGGATTTTTCTTCCAATAAAAGGAAAACAGATTTCATTTTCTTCCTTGCAGTTTTTCAGCAGCTGCATATCACAGGAAGGCCTTATTTTAACAAAAGGTAGTGATAGTTAAAAAAAAAAGTAGGTTGCTCAAGTAGCATTCTGTCTTTTTCCCTCTCTCTTCCTCTTCTTTTTTTTGTGTTATCCATATCTCCATATTTTCTCAGCATAAATGGAAATGTTACAAAATTTACACTGGGGAAAAATGGCAAAAGCATTGTAACATAAGTCATTGTTAATCTAGAGCACATGGGTGTTTGTGTGTGTTTGATCATGACAGTCTGTCCCTAAAGGACCATCTGGTTTTTAGAGAGGGCTTGTGGGTTTTCCCAGCTCTCTAGTGAGCAGTTCTACTCAGCCTCTTGTAAGTGGCTGGCATCAGAGGTGAGCCAGGCAATAGAAATTATTGCTCCCAAGTAGCCTCTTTCCAAGGCACCCAAAATCACACATCAAGTGCCTATGTAAGAAGTCTAGAAGCAAATCCAATCAACTTGGATGCATCCCCATATTTAATCTACACCTTACTATGGAGTTGAAGTGTTTTTACTTCAGTTTCCTTATTATATCAGAGAACTGTTTTCCAGTAATTGTGAGCTTCCTTTTTGGGAGGAATTATTTCTGAGATCTGCCATTGACTGTACTATAATCACTTTCTGTAGTATTTTGATAATGTCATTTGGATTTACTGTAGCCTTTATTTTGCATGGACAGAATTTTTTGTTATAATTGGCGTACTGTTATTTGGGTCTGTTCTGGTTAAATTTTATATGAACATTGACTTATATCTACAGAATATATTAAAATTGCATTATTAATAATAGTACAAAGTAGAAACTGATACAGATGCAAGACAGAACTTTGAGCCTACTGCTAGTTGTCCAATTTAGCTTGAATTCCTTTTACAATAGTGAAAAGGTAAATATATATCTCTTTTATTAACTCCCACCTCACCCTAAATACCTAACTGAATAATCTTTTTTAAGAAATGAAAGTAGACAGAAGTAGCAAAGGAGGGAAACTGAGTAGGAAGAAACTAAATAAAGAAGCTAGAAGACTTCATTTCTGAAAAGTTGTATCAAGCTGTATTTGTCCATTGTAAACAGGCTTTGGCAAGAATTCAAGTGGCTATGTAGTGTGTTTTAAAAAGCTGTTCATATCCTTTCATTCTTGATGCCTCTGAATCACATCTCACAGAGTTTTCAGAATTATAGCAACAACAAAAAAAAGCCATTTTTAATCAAGCAAGATGTTAAATAAAAATCATGCTGGAATTTATAGAGTTTTGTATCTAAACTATAGGAAATTGAGAGTTTATACACTAGAGGTAAAGCCGTTGCTATGAAGGTAATGGTTGTAGCTCATATCAGAACAGAGCTATAGGAGAGTCAGTGTTGATATTTCAACTGATGGGTCCTGCAAAGTCAATGAGCTTTCCATGATTATCCAAACATACTGCTTCTGATGCCAAGCCAATGTCTGTCATTTGGAAACATGCCACCATTACTAAAGTCAAGAGCAAAAAGACAATTCATTTTATTGAATCTGATATTATATAAATCAACATAACTCTCAAACTATCTTACTAATATACAAATTGGCTTGTATGATTTAATATATCTCATTTGAAAATGCTTAACAGACTGCCTCATGTATGCTGATATTTCTAGTTAGCTAGCTAGATCATAGATGAGTTTTGTACTAGGATACAGGAAATAAGAAGACTCATAGTTGTAATAATTTCTTGGAGACTTAAGCTCAAGAAGAAGATATAACAGTTTTGTACAAGTGGAGAAAGTTTGAAATAAATAAATAAATCACTTATTTTTTGCTGCTATAAAACATCCCTGACTAAGCCGTGGAACAAAATATGGGACTGGAGAACATTATATCATAGGATAACTCTACAATAATTTATTACACCTGGCCACCTGGCAATCATTAGCAGCATTTTAAAATAAATTTATCAATCTAGGCAAGCAATTGTGAATCTGTTCCTTGTATGCTCTTTTGGATAATCATTTATATAATGGAAACACTGTTCAAAGAAGGATGCACAAACAAATGAATGTCATGCTATCTAGATGACAGTATATAAACCTGCAACATAAGTTGGAGCCTTTTAAAGGGCACTAAGTTTGCAAACTTCATTTTCTAATCACTTTCAGAAATTTCCTCTTAACTGTTCCAATCTACTAGAGATCTTCAGAACTACAGTTTTGAGAAGTCTGCATCAAGTGAGTTTATCTTCAACTGTGAACAAAAGAAAAATTAATTACAGGCTAAAAAATTTAAAGATTTTGAAACAAACAGCAAAAAGCTAAATAAACTAAGCTAAATGTTTGTCCAGTCTCCCACCTTCCCTTTCTAGGAAAGTGGTGGCATTGCAGCTTCAGAGGACCTTGGTGGAAATGGATTATCTCTAGGTTTTAGGCCAAATAGGACTGAAACGATATTTGACAGGAGGAGGGACAGAAATGGTGCATCCATCCTTGCTCTCCTTGACCTCTCAGTGGTTTTTGATAACATCGGACCTTAGTATTCTTTTGGGCTGACTTGCGGAGTTGGGGTTGGGCGGCACAGTTTTGCAGTGGCTCACTTTTTTCCTCCAAGGTGAATCCCAAACAGTGTTAATTGGGAGGGAGAGGTCTCGCCCAACATTCTCTCTGCTCCTCTTTAACATCTACATGAAACTGCTGGGTAAGATTATCCATCACCTAGGGACAAGGTATCTCCAATATGCTGATGACATCCAGCTACATACAGTCTCTCTGTCCTGGGTGAGTAGCGATCCACTGAACATTCTTCCACAGTGACAGGAAACTCTTGGCATCTGGATGGGGAACAGCAGGCTTCAATTGAACCCTATTAAGATGGAGTGGCTATAGGTGTGTCCAGGAGTTTTTGATCCTGGGTGGGGTTGCACATATGATGTTTACTCTGTGAATGGCACTGGATACCAGTTTGCTTCTGGTCCAATTCAAGGTGTTGGCCATGACCTATAAAGTCCTTTGTGAAATAAGGAAAACGCTACCTAGAGAACCAGCTTTGACCCATCCTATTAGTTCAGTCAGGAAAAGCATGCTACAGGCCCTGTGAGTCAGAGTATTCCAACAGGCAGGATCAAGGAAGAGGACTTTGTCCACTACCCCTGCTTTATGGAACATCTTGCCCCTAGAGATAAGGAAAGCCCGCAATCTTCTGGCCTTCCGCAAAAGGGTCAAAATCTGGCTATGTAGCCTTGCATGGGTGACATAGGGCCCACACAGCTATGGGGCTGATTGGGCCCATGAAGTCCCTACCCTCAATTGAATTAACCACTCTTAGTCTCCATATCTCGGATCTCTTTATTTTTTGCAATTTTATGTTTTATACTTTTACATTTTAATCTTAAATTATTCAGTTTTAATGTTTTATTGTATTAATTAAATTGTACACCACCCAGAGCCCTGCTACACTTACACACACACACACACACACACACACACACACACACAGAGAGAGAGAGAGATGGTTCAGATAAATTTGGAATATTGAATTTTACTATAACATTTTGGAACTAACTATAAAAATAAACTTCTTGTAGAAAACAGACTTGCTCTGGCAATTGCTGATAATAAGTGATAATTTGAGAAAACGGTCACTGGAGCAACTAAGGATTTTAATAATAATAATAATAATAATAATAGGCGCCTTGGGTGCAATCCCAAAACAACTGGAGCACTACTTGAACACCATTGGCATTGACAAATTTGCCATTAGTCAATTGCAAAAAGCAGCCTTACTAGGAACTGCTTCCATCTTGCGACGATATCTGTAATACCATCAAACATCCACATCTGCCTATCCCAGGTCCTTGGTAAGGACTCGATAGGTAGACAAAATGCCAAATCCAGTCTGAACATCTGGCTGACTGTGCGATGATCAATAATAATAATAATAATAATAATAATAATAATAATAATAATAATAATAATAATAAAGTTGGAAGGGATCTTGGAGGTCATCGAGTCCAACCCTACTGTCCTGCTCAGGCAGGAAACCCTACACCATTTTGGACAGATGGCTGTCCAATCTCTTCTTAAAAACTTCCAGTGTTAGAGCATTCACTGCTTCTGGAGGCAGGTTGTTCCCTTGGTTAATTGTTCTAACTGTCAGGAAGTTTCTCTTTAGTTCTAGGTTGCTTCTCTCCTTGATTAGTTTCCATCCGTTGCTTCTTGTCCTGCCCTCAGGCACTTTGGAGAATAGCTTGACTCCCTCTTCTTTGTGGCAGCCCCTGAGATATTGGAACACTGCTATCATGTCCCCCTTCGTCCTTCTCTTCGTTAAACTAGACATACCCAATTCCAGCAACCGTTCCTCATATGTTTTAGCCTCCAGTGCCCTAATCATCTTTGTTGCTCTTCTCTGTACTCTGTCTAGAGTCTCAGCATCTTTTTTACATCGTGGTGACCAAAACTGGATGCAGTATTCCAAGTGTGGCCTTACCAAGGCATTGTAAAGTGGTATTAATACTTCATGTGATCTTGATTCTATCCCTCTGTTAATGCAGCCCAGCACTGAGTTGGCTTTTTTGGCAGCTGCAGCACACTGCTGGCTCATATTTAAGTGATTGTCCACTAGGACTCCGAGATCCCTCTCACAGTTACTACTATTGAGCAAGGTACACCCTATACCGGGATAGGCAACCTCGGCTCTTTTATGAGTCATGGACTTCAACTCCCAGAATTCCTGAGTCAGCATAGCTGCCTACCCCTGCCCTATACTATACCTGTACATTTAGTTTTTCTTGCCTAAATGTAGAACCTTACTTTTTCCACCATTGAATTTCATTTTGTTAGATAGCGCCCAGTGTTCAAGTCTGTCCAGGTCTTTCTGTATCTTAGAAAAAAAATACAAAGCCTGATGTTCTGAAATATCTGGACATATTGAATGAAATAAATCATTTTATAACTTTAGGAATATTAAAATACATATTTGAAAAATGGAGCCAGAAGGTAGTAACTATAGTATCAACACTGTCAGTAATGATGTCTGTTTCTATCGATAGACTGTCTAAAAGATATCAATAAAGGAATGCCAAGTGCGGACCAAATGTTATCTAACAAGAGAAAGTACGGAATGAGAGGCTAAGAGAATGATTTGTTGGATATATAAAAAAGAAACTGGCTGAAGTTTTAAAAATTAAAAAGGAAATACAAATGATAAACCAAGAAAATCATTGGTTTTATAGCTCCTATAAGAAAATATTTTGAAGATCATTTTCTTCAATTCTTCTTTATCCCATCAGATTTTTTTCATCTGTCTAATGGAAAGGAAAATTGAATTTTAAGACAACATGTAATTGAATTAAAGATTAACACTGTTATAAGTGGAAGGAATATAAAATTGGTTTATTTGATCAAGGTTAAAATAAGACTCTTTTTGCAATGTTCTTTTTGCTGACATCAGAATTGAAAAGTTGATGTTTAATTGATTTGCTTATATTAGCATTATGGATGGGATGTGGAATAAAGAGATTCTTTTTATTTTTATGGAGATGAATAGTTATTAAATTTGTTCTAACTGTTTTGAAGGTTGTAAGATAGTTCTTTATATATTTGTTTTCTTTTTGTTTATTATATTTTTTCCTTTTATTTTTCCTTTTTTGCATATTTTCATTTTTCAATTCTCTTCTCTTACTCTAACTTTCATTTATATCATGCTTTACTAATGTAATTAAAATTCTTAATAAAATTATATATTTTTTAAAAACTCTCGAAAGTTAAACAGTGGCTATCATCTTGTTACATGGTAATCCAGACATATAGTCTAATTACAATTGATAATTTATATATAGGAAACAACTGGAAGTAAAATTAAAACTGCAGATAAGATTTTGATTTCAGAACGCAAATGAAGAGGCAGAATGCATTTTAAGTCAGAAAAGGAGGGTAAGAATAGGTTAGCAAGCAAACATGATATTGGACTGTTCAGTTTTCTATATAAATTAAAGTTCCTGAATGATTCAAGATCATCAAAGATTAGTACAATGCAGGGAGGAAGACAATACAGTGTGAGTTTAATTTATGTGATGGAAATGCCCAGAGGCAAATCAGGATTCAAAGGCCCAAGAAGAAGGCAGAACTTCTGTTAGCCAAGAAAGGATGCCAGCTAGGTTCTACCAAAAACCCTTGATTAACTTTTTAGGGAATTTAATAACAGCTACACACTTAACAATAGCTTAATACAGACTTACTGACATAGTAGCAGAACTGTAGAGAAAAATAGTAATTTTTCTGGACAGTGAGAATTTTAAACAGCTTATAATTATATTAGATGGTTTGGCTAGACTAGAGCCTGTTGCTATGACAATAAAGGTCATAGTAGAGCCCACATACGTTGTCTGCAATAGCAGCTAAATTTAATCTCACAGGTTTCAGGTAAAACTGTAAAATCACAAAGGTTTGAGAAACTATGCCATTTATTGTTTGGTTATATGGACCAACAATCTGATTTATTGTTTGGCAAAATCACATGTTCATGTTTATCTCTCTCCCACATACACAACAACGTGTGTGTGTGTGTGTGTGTGTGTGTGTGTGTAAGTAATATCACATTTAATACTAAATAAACTCAACCTCCTCGTATAAATCTTTTGTTTTCACCACAGATTAGGAAGATTGCCAACACTTTGAAAGAGCTACCTCCCCTTCTTGTTAATTAATTTTTAACATTACTTGCCTCTTTTAAATTTTATATATTGTTTTATACTATAGATAGATAGATAGATAGATAGATAGATAGATAGATAGATAGATAGATAGATAGATAGATAGATAGAGTGGTGGGATTCAAATAGGTGAACAATCGGTTCTCTGTGTGGATGCCGCTTCAGGAAGTCTGTTCTGGGCATGGGCAACAAAAAATTAGCTACCGGTTCCACCAAAGTGGTGCAAACTGGCTGAATACCATTACTGGATAGATGTATAGATGGATGGATGGATGGATGGATGGATGGGTGGGTGGGTGGGTGGGTGGGTGGGTGGGTGGGTGGGTGGATGGATAGATAGATAGATAGATAGATAGATAGATAGATAGATAGATAGATAGATAGATAGATAGATAGATAGCTTTCAAAGTGCACATATACATTTAAACATACTATGTACAACATATGTATAGACCTACAGCCTTACATATAAGTAACATATAAGTATTAATCACTATCCATCTTGAATACATAAGAGAAGGAGGA